GCATATTCGTATCTACAACTATGTTCTCTAATCTTGAGCTATATCAAAAACACAGGTGGGCTATACATGGGAAGACGGGCCTGGTCTCTGGGACGATGTTGAGGGGACGCTCAAAAACTTTGTGGTGGCGCGAGACGCCATTCTGAGTGAGATTTCGGATTCGTCTGCCAAACCGGCTGTAATCGGGTCGTCTACGAGTCAATTGCCACATAAGAAATGGGGAGGGACGTTGAACCGGAAACACGGTATTGTTACAGGCAAACATTGACGGCGGTTTATATAGAGATAGGTCTGGTTTTGTATAGATGTGTCTGGTACTGCCTTTAGAGTAGCATTGTAACGACGTTGTATGATATTGTATGTAGTGATCGTTGCCAACTAACGGTAATGTGTGCGGTGAGGTGGAATGTGCACTACAATATCCTTCTCATCCACGTATATTTGTTTTAAAAGGTACATGCACACACATACACACACATACACGCACACATCCGCACACACTTATAAATAATGCTTGCTTCGCTAGAAAGTAATTATTCATTGTGCACTGCTCGTTGTGATGTTTGAGAACAATACATTCGTCAGTCGGTGATTGAACATGTGTGGATGACAACATGGCAGATATGTTAGACCCCATCTTACTAGCAGCCTTCTGTCGATGTTGCACTCATATATGTCATGCTAACTACGTATTATGTTGTAATATACAACATATGTATGACAACAAAGATGCGTCTGGACTGCACCAGGATACAACAGAATCCATGGGTCAGTCGTGTGTTTTCAATAGTTTGATTTTTAATTAACAAGATAGCAAATAGTTTATACATTCCTCTTTTTTTGGTTATGAAGGCACCCTGAAGAGCTCAAAGTCCATCAAGGCAGAAAGGAAACAGTCAGTTATAGGATCGTTAAGTCTTGAAACCTTGCCCTCCCGGAAGAAAAGTGGGTCCAAGAAATCGGGAATGGAATCACCTTTATCCAAACGCAAACTTCCGGGACCAAATTTGTTCGAGAAAAAACTTTCTAATGAACTATCCGAGGAGAACGAAGGTGTGTTGTAGCTAGAGAGATGCCTTATATTTATTAGTGTATAAGAGGTATGTGACAACGAGTCCGGATTTTGAGATGGAATGAATGAAAGGAGCAATACAAACGGCGTACGTATTCCGTTGTATTTTAGAGCGACACTGAATATGTGTAATCACCGCAACGGAGACACATTAGTATAGTAGCCCAGCATATAAACCTACATCACAGTATGCTTTAATGTGTCAATCAGTATGCCAGATCGGCATGATATCAACTCAGAAACTCATCGCTCCTATATATCTTCTATAGTTCACAATCCCCACGAGTCCCGAAACAATCACTGGTAGGGATGGTACGCTCTAACTGTGACAGAGAAGGCTGTCTGCGTGAACAAAAACCAACTCACTCCTACCAACGGGTCTATCTAAATTAATACCATATGCGAGCCCAAATATGCACCTACACCTTCCACACATTCCTACACATTCACTGATAATAAAAAGTACGCACTATTTGTGTCAAGTATACAGACTAACAAATAGAATGGGATTTTTGAGTCAAGGAAAAGCCAACATATATATATGCACACACACACACACACACACACACACACACAC